AGATATACGCTTGCTTGATACGCTATCGAAGGATAGCTAACAAGATCGTACATATGTACATATATATACGTAGAATGAAACGATAGATTGATGACAATATATGCCAGGAACGGAGTCACGCTGTTTGACAAATTCTTTCGCGTTCATAGGCGCCGACAAGCAACGCGAAGCGTTAACCGTGCCGTCGCGGTCGCCTCGTTGTTGCTATCGGAGCTCATTTATACTGACCCTTAAATTTCTCCACGGATCGGTGGCGCGGCGGAAGGAGAGTAACGAGTGATTCAAGGAGAAACGACGAGGATCCTTGTAACTACCTATCTGGTTACGCAACCGCGCTCGATACGCGCGACGCGTGTTCGTGTATCGTACGCATGTCTTATCTTGTGCAACCGGCTTTTCCTCTCTTCCCCGCGGTTCGGCATTTCAAAAAACGAGCCGCTTTTAAGTTGCGAAAGGGAGAACCGTTATTGCCCGCAACCTTCGACACGCATAAATGGACAATGATTTACGAATTATGTACATTTATGAATACGAATGTTCTTGGAATGCGTGAGACTTCGTGGAATGCATGAGAATTAGATTTCTAATTTTCTCCGATCTAATTCTTTTCGGACATTAAAGTCCAAGCAAAATAAAATTTTACAAATTTTTAGCTGCCTCTTCAATCGTCGAAAATTGGGCAAAAAATAAGAAATTCGTCAATTTTTGTTGTGAAAGTTGTTAACTGTTGTCTTTTTTAATATAAAATAAGGCAATAATTTATCATATTTTTAATATATCGCGCTGACGGCCGAATCGATGTCGCCAGTTTGGCCTCAAAGGTGTATAACTTTTTGTCCCTAAACTAATGTGGGTCGCACGTATTATAATGACAAACCGGACGAGCGGCTAAATTTCACAGAGCTGCGACTGCGACCGTGAGCATAATTCGCGAACGATAATGTCCGTCATCGGGACGTACTGCACCCAAATTATCAGCACTGCCGAGTGCGTTGCCTCATACATCACCGCTATCGAATCACCAATTCAAATTCGAGCTAGTCCTGACGACACGACCGCGTCGCGACGCTTTATCGTCGCTCTCTTTCGCTTATTATCAGTTCCGCATCATTCGTACATTGAACTCAGATTTTATCAGGCGCCACTACACATACACAGTCATGCAGAAGGTCCTCTTTCGAGAAAACATCGAGTTCTCCAATCGGTCTACAAAATTCTTGAAGACTGCCGTCATAAAGAAAATTATCTCTATTTTTGTTTGAATAACTATATATATAGGGTTGAAGTAGATGAGTTATTTTTATCTAATTGGAGTAATTACGATAATATTATCGTATATCATATTTTTTTAAGAAAAAATTAAGGTTAGGTATTAAGATATTAAGGTTGTTCTTTAATTAACGTTACCTTAATACCTAACCGTAATCTTAATATCTAACGTTTAATAACGTTAGGTATTAAGGTTGTTCTTTAATCAGTAATTAAAACAATGAAAATTATAATTTTAGTTTTATTTAATAAATAAACGATTATAATCGCTGAACAATTATTTTACTGTTATTATTTTAATTCAATTTATACTTAATATATTTTTAAACATTGTTAGTTGTTCCACTATCACAATTAATTTAATTAATCCTAGTTTTTGCATTTTTCTTGGAAAATTTAAACGAAATAAAAACATCTTTATAACAGCAAAATGAAAAAAATGATAAATCCGTCATGGATAATCTATTTTTCTTGTTACTTCGTGCTTAGCTCGTTCAAGAATTAATAACAAAGGACAAACCGGTACGTATTCCGGTTATTTCCTAATCCCTACAATTCGTCTACAAGTTCGGACAGGCTCTTCACGATCGCAGTCACGCACGAAATGAGTCGACTGCCTGTGGCGGTGGTCCGTCCGCTAGGACAAGAAAGAAAGGAAGCCGCTCCTATTATTATAAAAAGGAATAAAATGGAGTAGAGCGTCGGATATGCGTCGCGGAGAGAAGAAGCCGCGAGGAGCATTCTTGCGAGCAGTTGCCAGAAAGCTCTGAATGTCAAATTTCTCATCACTAGATCGACTGGCCATCGACCAAGCCGCTACGGCGCGGCGTCCCGACCATCTGCCTTCTCTCGGGCCCTTCTCTCCTACCTGAAACACGCGTTCACCTGGCCGGTTTCCCCCCGCGTACTTCACCGCCACCTCCGCCCGATGCGATCGGTCTCGTTCATCTTATTTTCGGGCCATTCAGCCATCGCCACCGGTTCTCCGACGGGCGACGCTCCTTCGCGGTACCTCACGTGGAGAACTCTGAATGGAATTCTCCTCGGCGGACGCGCTTTTTGCCAGACTTCCTCTCTGGATGACAACTGCGAGAATCCCCGTTCCCGCTCCCCCGCTACGAACCCTATGAGTATGGCCAAGATACCCTTTCGATTTTTAATGGCGAATTGCGTAATCGCTGCGCGATGGAACCGGAAACGAAGCGCGAGCAAAACCGAAAGCTGTCTGATGATCGTGCGGAAATGGATATTGCATATTAAAAACAAACTCCAGTTTCTCAAAGTATATACTACATTTCTGATCCCAAATCTTTTTGATAAATTTTATTCAAAAAATATACTTATAATAAAATATATTTTTTTTACTGATTTTTTAATAATGATTTTTTTACGTGATCTCTTCAGCGTTATCTTTAAGTTTAAGGCTAACAACATTAGTTGTTCCAAAAAAGAGTAGAGAAATTTCTCCAGTCTAAAAAAAAAAAAATAAATTTTCATTTGCTTCATCTGTTATTTTATAAATTTTTTTTATAACTTTTAATCGGGTTTTGGTCAATCAAGCCGAATTAGCGCGATCAATATCATTCTACGACTTGACGATCAATTCGAGTGACGCGACTGACTCGCCTCGGCGCGACTGCAATGTTTTCCGGTGCGTAGGTACACCAGGAAGCGTAATTAAGCTTATTTTTTAATACGTAATTGCTACTTCCGCGGCAGCGATCACGACGTGCTCGCCGATTAGTCGCACAATAACGACTATTGTTGCTAGCAACTATTCGTGCAGAAGATGTTAAAGTACCTTTTTCATTCCGCATTCGCTTTAAATCTGCACGGGATACGAATTTAAACATGACATATATAGGGTACGATTTTTTATTTCGGCTCTGCAGTATTTCTAACACCCGAAAGGCAAAAGAAAGTCTAATTATAAGTTTCGACCAGTTATATTACTATGATCGATAAAACAACATTTATATATCACAACAAACCGGTCTTAACAAACTTTATACCGCTATTATATAAAAAAAATATTTTTTAATATATTAATTAGAAATCGAAATAAAGTTCTTATTATAGATAAACGTAGATTGAAAGTACGATAGCACGTAAGGCTTTTTAATTGGCAAAGCAGTTTAAACTCGCATCCTTCTGCTCTTCTAAAAAAAAATGCTCATTTCATGCCACACGAGTCGTTGCACATCGATGAATGTGATATTTATTTAAACAACTCGCGAAGGATCGACAAAACATGGCGCGATCTCGATTTTTACAAATGAGTAATGAGACACGAGCAGGGAGATTGGTTTTGCCGTTCCCTCACCACGCCGTAGCGTAATGATGGCCTGTTACCGCGATTTATTCCACGCTATCATCATAACGCAACGAACCTCTAACGCGGTGTTCGTTACAGAAGCGACGCCTTTGAGGCGCGATAATAAATGGAGGGTTTCGCAATGGGGAGTGCTCTTGGTGCGCTATGTTGCAAAGAAAGGTATGTAAAGTTACACGAACAACAAGTGAGAATCGCGATTTATGACGCAGCAACGTACCTATATGCGTTTCCGTCGTAAATGATTTTGTGTAATTCTTACGCTCTCGTTGCCGGCATTATTTTACACGTTCTCACGGTGTATTTTTACCCAGAGGCGCGAACGCGGTAAAAATATAAATGTTATAACCACATCTCACAGCGCACTATTCCTATTCTCACTTAATTCTTCTATTTATCACCGATACAAATCAATCTTAATTCATATTAAATTAATTGACGTTAAAGAAATAGAATTAGAATTAATCCTAATTGATGTTAAATTAATTGACGTTAAAGAGATCGGATTTATTTAATCCGGATTTATCTTTGCATCTTCGCAGCAAGAAATAAAATACGAATCAATCTTTGATTTTTACATTGCTTAAATAGCATTTTAAAGCGTTCAGATAACTGCAAAAAAAACGGTCAATTTTCCATGCGCGTCACAAAATAAATATTCGAGATGGATAACAGACTGATAAGAAATTCTTATCAGAAACTCCGATAAATTTTGTTTCAAATGTTAAAGTCTCTGTTTAGAGAAGTACGTTATCATAAAATAACAATTTGAATGATCGAAAACAATATGCTCTTGTATTGCTTTTAAAATAATTTACTCGTAATGTCAAGAGAAATCAGAAATTACGAAAGCTTTCAACAATTTAATAATAGAATTAAATTGAAATTTTCGACCCAATAAATAATAAATTAACAAGAAGTAAAGAGCTACATTTTTATATTGCTAGACCGTTAGAACGACCGTTTTTGTTTGTATTTTTACATGGTCAGAGCGTTAAGATGAATTTTGTTTTTATATTATGTATTAGTAATTTTTGCTTAATATTGAAAACGATTCTATTTCGATCAAAATGTCTGTTAACTATATTAAAAAGTTATTTTTACTTGGAGCATTAAAAAATATCGTGCTTTGGCTGACAGCCCTTTACTTCTTGTTAATTTATAATAGAAGTTATAATCGCATCCATCGAACATTGCGCCGATCGATTGCTGTCGATCGGACGACGCGGATCAAGGAGACAACAACAGCGAAATCGAAAAGAGACATTACATGCGATTTATACTCTACCAGTCATCTTAAACACGACGAGTCATGAAGGTGTAAAAAGTTTATCTATTGTATTTCAAATTTATGTCAAATATAGAGTATGGATCGCGGATTAAACATATAGACACTCACCTTGCACAGCGAGAAGAAGCACCAGGAGACCGAGGATTCGCGGCGGCAACATCTTCCTTTGTCAAGTCGTCCTTTCGTTCCTCTTGTCCTTTAAATCACTTGACAACCAACGGAGCACAATTTGGTAGCACTCTCCCCTTGAATCGAATGTCGCCAAGGTCAAAGAGAAATCCTCGCCGGCAGTCACTTCGATTTTCGAATCCTACGAAAAGATCAAGCGATCGATGACAACTTCACGCGGGACGGAAGAATCGAGTAATATTTCGAGGGACGCGCGCCCGGCTTGAACCGCAACGAAGATCGAACGCACGCGCGGCGGTGTGTGTCCGTCACCGTGAGTGAACCGTCTTCTCGCCGCCGTACGTCGAACGGTAATCGAGAACACCGAATACAAACTGAGCGGCCGAGCGCGAGCAAGGCGAACGCGCGCGGTATCCGAAGAGCGACGGCGGAATCGCGCCCCCGGCTTTTTACGGGGACTTGCGCGGTCCGGCTGCGCAGACGCCACCCGGTTAAACCTCTGGCGCGACGCCGCGGCGCTCGCTTTGTGTAAGGGCGTATGTGTGTGTACACGTGTGTGTGCGCGCATCCATACACACTCTCGCGTTAAGGTTCGTGTCACACTGAGATTTATTTTATGCCCTAAGTTCCCTCTGAAGAGACATACAAAAAAAAAACACTTTTACATAAAATATACGTACAACTTTTAATTTCGAGATATTAGAACGGTGATGGAAATGGCATTTAAAATCCCACTATCGCCGTGTAATCTCTTATCTTTGCGCAGACACGCGACACGCATAATCTTATTAGATTATGCCGCGATAAAGTCAAATGGATATTTGACAAGATTCTGGAATGCAATTACTAACGACTTATATCGATTTTTTATCGATGTCGCGTTCCACTCTACTCGTTCCCGCGTGTTTACTCGTATATTGTACGTAAAAATGTACGAACTCACATTTTCCGATTTTTTCTCGATATCGATAGGCGTGCTTTCTCTTATGCCATATCTCTTACTATATATATCGTTTTCAAATAAAATTGGATATCGTAATCGAAGATATTTAGCAATTCCACTTTATTCTGGCAATAAAAGCTTCGCGCAGTTTATTCAAATTTATTCACGCGTACCAAGTTCTTTCATCAGACTTCGTCGTACGGATTATATTTCTTTCAGCGGCCGTCTAACGCTAACGTTTCTCGATTCGAGGTAAATCCGTCACGGTCTCTCGCCAATGCCAAAGTTGGCTGCGAAAACATGAATGTAAGTAGGTGTAAAGTTTCTCGCGGGCGCGCGCGCTGCGACGCATAAGCGCAGCGCATAAACGCAACCGGCATGCCAACAATCTCGCTTACATGCGCACATATGGGACCCGATTTGCACGTGACGGATGTACATACATCGCCTCGCGGTCTCTCCGTGTCCCATCCCATTCCGCTTATCGTGTAAAACACGACGATTTTAAACGCTCGATTCCCGCTTTCTAAGTAAACGCCGATGGCACTTTAAAGTTGCGCGAAGGACGTGATGTCCTCTCTCCCTCTCGAAGGTTCTATCCGGCATTCCTCGTCTTACATTGCGATCCGATTCGTCGTACAAGGAGGAAACATGAGTCATGGGATTTCAACAGAGAAGGAACGATTAGTTTGACGATCGGTTAACAAGCAGATCATAATGTCATGATTGCCTACACGTGAAATCGGGACTTGTTAATTATAATTGACGATACATGACCTGCCGTTGTAAATAAGCGCACGTTTTCTACATTAATTTTCTTCTTTTCTAAATTCTCTTTAATTTCTTCAAAATAATTATATTAAATATTTCTATTTTAATAGATTGATTTTTTTTATGTAAATTTTTTTCCCTTAGAGAATAACTAAATTTCTTTGCAAAAGAAAGAGAACAGATTCAAAAATTAATTTAAAAGAATACAGGATTAGTTTTAAGAACATGCGATCTCATTTATAAAAATCAAATTCTACATCGTCAAATATTCAAGCATATTCTAACGTCTTTCCTAAATTTTTCTAAATTGTCATTAATAAGATCGCGCGTGCATTAAATGATTCTTCTTTTCGTATCTCTTATAAAATAACTACTTACTTTGTTCATGATGACTTTATATTATGAATAAAATAAGTAGATAAAGATTGATATATCGTGCAGGTTAAGCACTTAGAAATATAAGTATATTTACGATCAATTACATTAAATATGCATGAGTTGTCGCGACGGTGAAAAAATTTCTTTTTTGGCCAGGACTACAACATGACACGATGCCATTGTATTGTACAAGCATTATGACTTATATCAACGGCGTGACTAATCCGCCACAAAAAATAGTGATGTCACGCAGCAAAAAGGTGCACGCATTTGGCCGGTGAGACGACCTATACACTCATTTCGTGTGGAATTATTGATTGCTTGACTTTGTTTTTTTTTTTTTACAAAAAAATACCAAATCCGATTAAGCGCCACATGTATTTTTTTTTTTTTTCATCAAGAAAGTCGTGCTCAGGAACTTTACTTTTCTAGAAATCACGAAGAAAGAATCACACTTTTCTACCGCGAATTGCCTTTCACCGAATATGTTGTCACACTGTCGAGAACAGCTACACCGTATCAATCGGTATTGACCGCATATGTGCAAACGAGACGTGATTCACTCAACCACAAATAAGCAATTGTAATCCTTTATACGTGGAGAGACATATGTAATATCGCGCGAGTAAAATTAATGCTTGAGACTTGATAACCTTCGATTCGCTTCCTGCTCAATTCTCGACGCGCAGTGCATTCAAAAGAGAAAATCAGTCTCTCTTTTAATGACAAAATTTTAATTAATTCGTAAATATATATATAGTCAAAAGTATAATTGCATTTAACGTCAAGCGAAATTTCTCTGTTTGAATCGATCGTCGAAATTGAAACTTATAACCACTTAATTCGAGCAGGAAAAATCCTCGTCGGCGTTTCTGCTTATTTTTCAGATTATTTTCGCGATTTTTGGAGACAATCGCATTTAGCCAAGCATTAATAAAGCGCGATGGAAAATATTTGAAATTCGTATCCGCCAGGTGAATGATGCCATATACATATATGCATTTCCGTTTTATGCGTACGATAACAAACGGGGCCCTCACTCTAAGTAAACGTGTTATCATGTCGCTCGACAGAAATAACAACGCAAACTACCGAGCACCAGTGAATTCGTAAATATGGGAAACATAAAAATTCATCGAAAAAGGCAAAGGCGCGTTTGCATCCAATTAATATTCATCAAATCGTGCGTCGCAACTGAATAAATCTATCATCGTAATTATTATGCGAGGATATAGTATGTAGATTTAATTAACACAAATATAACGTAATTTGCACCGTAATGGGCTGAAAAAAATATTGTGAACTGCGCGTTTATTAAATTTGCTCTCTTTCTAGCGACAGCGAGCATGACGGGAAAAGATAAACTGCGATCGAATTCTTTTTAGAGATAAAAGTAATAATATACCTATGATATATGTGCGTGCGCATGCTTGAGTGTTTTGTGCGTATGCATGAGTGTCCGCAGTACTGAATTCGGACATTCGTAGGTTCGCTAAGCCCGAATAAATGTGCGAATTAGTCATCCTGCCATCCCCGCGAGAGAACTGCTTGCTGCTTCTCTTCAGACGAAAAGAAAATGGCGTCGAGTCATAAAGAAAGATGTCGTGTCACCTAGCGGAGATTACTCGCTTACTAAAACCTCGTGATAACCTGCGTCGGTAAATGTACCTTTGGTGAGTTACCTTCGCAGCTCTTCCCGTGACTGACCGCGATTCGGATTGGAAGTTCGGGAGATGTCCGTCGTTCGAGGCGACACTGACTGCCGGCGAAAGCGGCGAAGAATCGTCGACACTCCATGGAGCTCCTCGGCGCGCGATTGGGGGTTCCGGCTGCCGACGTGCCCCACTGTGCCGCGAGTGCCGCGCTCCGAAGTGAACTCCGACTTGTCGCGATGCATTGGCGAACACGGCGCGCGACGGGACAAAGGACGCTTTCGTACGCAAGCGGAGGGACGCCGCCATGTTCATTTGTCAACGGACGTCGAGGTGTTTCCGTGTGGAGCGCGGAAGGAGCAGCAGCCGCTTGCCGCCTACCGCCGGATAGAAGCCAGGAGGGCAGGGATCGAGGCCGGTTCGAGAGGGTTCCTCGTTGATCTCGCATCATCTCGTCCTGTTTCATCTCACCTCACTTTGTCTCTCGTCATGGAGCACGACGCCGCTTCCGAGTTGCGGAAGCGTAAACGCGAGGAATACGAGATGCAGCTGTTCGGCTTCCATTCCCGAGCCGTATACGCGTCTTGTAAGTAGCCACCTGCATTTTAGATCTCGACGCGTGACGCTTTTTCAGTTCGCGCTCGCGCTTTCTCGACAAACGCTGGACAGATCGGGGCGGGGGCGGCGGGGGCGCCGACCGTTACGGCGTGCCCCGGCCGTATATTTCGCGTCAAAATCCCGCACGTCCCGCTGCCGCTGGACGGGTGTGCTCTGGTTTCATGTGGCATTCGATCATGACTAGAGTCACACTCGTCCAGCGACCGGGACACTTTCGACGGATTTTTCGTGAGAGGGGAAACCGCGAACGCGTCGTCTCGCTTTCGCTGTGGAATAATCGATGTGGATCGGCGAGATCGCACTTGTCGAGGACCAACGCTTCTCATCGCTATGCCGGTGAGAAGTGAGAAGCATCGACAAATGCGTCTTTTATCTCGTCGATCCTTTCCAATCTTAATTTCCATAACGTGGTTGTGCGATTTTTTTCGCTTTTTAATTTTAATATTTTTTACGCTTTTGCGAATCATGTAAATCGTTATATAATTGTAATTGTCGCTATATAATTGCTCATATTTACTCAGAAAATTTACTAAAAGAAAAAAACAAATTGATACCTCTACAAAATCTTAATTTTATTTGAAAAACATTTTTTGAAACTTAGTCTGCGTTCGGTTTTGTGCTCACAGCACTTATAAACATCATTTGTCCTTGTTTCACATTTGATAAACAAGGGTGAAATGATGTTGTGAGCGCTGTAAGCGCCAAAGCGAACGCAGCCCTAGTAGTGTGGTTTTCAATATAAATCTAATCTTAGATCTTTTTGTTTGCTTTCTGTAAAAATAAGGCTAATATTGTATCTAGCATTTTTGTATCCATTGTTCTAACTACATGTTTCTTTAATTTATGAAAAATCATGCATGGCTGCTCATGGTAATCTTTCTCTTTGATCTGTTATAGTTAAGAATATTGTAATGGAAAGGATACAGTCTAGGAGCAGAAAATTATGTGAAACATTGGAAAAGATACACAAGTCAGACCCAGATAACTTGGCGACGATAAAAGCAAATGAGGAGAAACTTGTAAAAGCGTACTGTACAGCTTCTGTGCCTCATTTGAGAAACATAGAGGTAATTATTTTTAAATTTAACGTTAAACAATCTATATACTATCCAGTTGTATTTAATTACATTACGCCTACTTTATATTTGAGATATATCTGTTAAATTAACTTTAAAATAAAAATATTCAGTTGTACACTTATTAATACTTATTTTATTCTGATCAGAATAACGTGAACAAATTCATTGCTGTACCCGACAATATTTTGGCGAACGAGGATAAGCTTCAAGAAACGCAATACACGGAAGCGGAATTTCAGAATATGCGCGGGAAACTGGAGGAAGTCCAGCAGAGAGCAAAACGCGTACGTATCTTGGTTTAATCATCATTGAAAAAAAAATATCGTCGTTATTTTCGCTTTATGTAAATGCCGCGGCATTTAAGCATTATGTAACTCTCACGGTTTCTTCCAGGCGGCTGTGTTGAACGCGGCATTGAAGGAGGAATTACAGCTTATAGAACAGTTTTCGATCTGTGCGGACAATACCGATAGACTGAGTGGCATAATTGAAAGCGGCGTTGCGTGCCCGGATATCAGTAACAAAATTCATCAATTGGTCGAAGATTATAAACAGTTCAGTGCGTTCCTCGACGACGGAGCACCCGTGTCGCAAAAGTCGCTCTACAATCCGACTGATCTCAAATGTATAGACTACGATATGGATGCTTTATAATTGTATAGAAAAGAGGGAGAGATTATTTTCACTCATCTCTCAGCATTGCTGATACCACTGCCTTTTTTTAGATTATCAATATGTAATTATATAAATTCATGCATTCTGTGAATATTTTTTATACACACGTTATATAAATTGTTCATAATTTACAATTTTGTTAAATATTTATAATATTAAATGCTAATAACTATTATTTTTTTCGTTGCTTTCTCTAGCCTTTTTACATAATTAATATTCTATAAAAAGGCTATTAATACAACAAATTTTATGAACAAATTATGTAAATATAATTATATGTATGTACATATATATTTAAAAGTAATTGTATTTTAAATGTTACGGATAATGCTTTACAACAAATAAATATAACAAAATTTGCTATATTTGTAGTAACAAAATCCTGTATTGGAATAACGGAAATTTAAAATTTTTGTTATCGAATGGAGTTTACCGCTTATCGTCTACAGTTACTGTTCCTTCAGCAACTGCTGACACCTGCTTTTGTTTCTCTTATAAAATACAAAAAGGAAATAAAGATTAAGGGAATACTGGTGTCGTCTGTTTTGTTTACGATGAAAACGCAATAATTTTTATAATAATTATACTCCGTATAACTTTATATATTTGGAATTTTTTTTCAAAATTAAAGTTTACGCATTACTACTATAGTCTGTCGATCTACCAGAGTTATGTCGAGAACGAAAAAAAATTTAAAAATTTCAGATCTTTACTATCATTTTAGCTCTATGTGGCGTCTAGAACTGTCAAGTCGTAACAATTAACATATGTATATATGCTTAATAAAGCTGTGCAATTCGTATTTACGAAATTATTGGTAGACGAGTAGACATAGATTTTATGAAGAAACAATATAGAGTTTTTAGAATATTAGATTTAGATGCTTAAATTTTGAGTCTTTTTATTACAAAAATTTCTTATGATGTGTGTGTGCGATATTAAAGTGGCAATAAACAAATACATCACTATATACATATTACTTCAATATCACACATACATACAAATCATTGATATAAAACAGCGATGCCAATGACCGTTTTCCAACATTTTTAATTTAACAATCTTTGGTGCTCATAATAAATGTGAATTTTCAAACGTAATTTTTGTCCCGATAATTATCTGCTATAAAATAAATTAATTATATCAGATATTGCTTTTTAATTATCTATAATTGTGTTACTTAAACTTTTATAATGAATTAAATTTAACGTAAAATCATTGTAGAAAAATCGTCAAATATATGGAATTTATTGAAATGATATAAATTTACAAAAAATCCACCTAAAAAAATAAAATTATAATCTTTTATAAAAAGCTTATAATTATAATCTTTTATGAAAAGCTTAATTCGCGTTAATGTATTTTGTAAGAAAGCAAAATGCAAAATGATAAAATCTAAACGTGCGGTTTAACACATCAAACATTGAATCAGGGTACAAATCCGGTCGTTTTGTCTTATTTTTCGCTTGCAACCATTCTGAAAATAACCTCCCCATCTTTTTTTGTTTATGCGTAGAACGCAAGAGGAAATTATAAAATTTACATATTAGCCTTATAATTACTTTCCCCCATCTTTAATGACTTCATGCAAAAAAACATGTATAACATAACATCATCGTTAACTATTTTGCTTCTCCAGTTTTATTGATAAATCTAATTATCATATTTTTCACAATCTGATCTTGAAAATCACGTAATGTATATTATGGTTTTGAGCGCAAAATAATGTTACATATGCAAGGATGTAAATTATGACACGCTGCATTTATAGCGACATTTGATTGCTTGCGAAAGTGAAAGGATTAAAGCCGATAATAAAAGTATAATAAATAAAAGTGTCTACAGATTTAATACATTATGTTAGTTTATAATTTGAGGTTTTCCTATATAAATGTAAAAAGCGAATGAAGTGTTTTGAAGGCTTGAAAGAGAATTCACGAATATTTTAAGTCTTAGATTGAAAACAGAAGCCCAAATCTAAAAAGAAAATAACTGTCTCTAGAATTCTAGCGAAACGTGTGCAACGAGATTCTAAGTATTGCAGAAAAAACTCGGCGTCCGCGTCGCACTTTTCCTGGAATCGGGCCCCAAAATCACCTCGTCCCACCTCCCCAGCCCCCCAATCCGATCGGTTACTAGTTCAGTTCGCCTCATGCAGCTCGCGCGATTGCATGTTGATGACGATGAGCGACGACGATGGTGTGGATCTCACCGGCGAATGCCGGCGTACTATGCGACTCCTGGAAATGTTGCGTCGCACGCACTATGAGCTTGTGCAGGTATATACAGGGATTAACCGATTACTTATCTTTTTCAATACCAATGCAATAAATAAAGCACGAAGTAGGTTTTCAAACTGGTGAGAAAATATAAGTTAAAGTAACTTAACTCGAAAACATTGTGAATCGCGAAAATCATTTATATAGGTATATAATACATAATTTTTCTTATAATTCATGTTTTACCTATCTTTTAATGTTAAGATGCACTCGTTAAGCATAGAGAAATTTTATGCTTTTTATTACGAATAAAAATTGAAAACACCAGCTAAGCAATTTATAAAAAACGTAAATATAGGTTTCTATATGCATTTGTCTCTTATTAAACACTTGCAAAATAATCAGCTGTATTTTCTTATTGATAAAGAGCTGATCAGAAGAATTAACGAAAGTATTTATTAAAAAGTCTGATTTTTCTATCGTGTTCACTTACTGTTTGCAATAAAATTGTCGTCATTTTCTTTTTTTATTTCTAGTCAAATATTAAGTCAAAATTAAATATGTTTATTCTAAATTTCTTTTCTCCTATATACTATCACAAAAAAATGATTTCGTACAGGAGAATGGCCAGCGACGGCTGACGGCACCAGAAGTAGCGCGCGGTCAGCGGGAACGTGGTAAGGGTGCGGAGGTGTTCCTGGGTCGTTTGCCGCGCGATTGCTACGAGGACGAGCTGATGCCGTTGCTGGAGCAGGTGGGCCGGCTTCTGGAGTTGCGACTGATGCTCGACTTCTCCGGGTCGACGCGCGGCTACGCGTTCGCGTTGTACGAGGATCCGCGGATTGCTCGGGAGGCGTGCGAACGTCTTGACGGCCACGAGATCCGGCCGGGCCATCGCATCGGCGTGGTCAAGTCCATGGACAACTGTCGGCTCTTCTTCGGCGGCGTACCCAAGACCAAGACCAAGCCCGAGTTCATGGAGGAGCTGACCAAGATATTGGACGGCATCACGGACATCTACGTGTACCCGAGCGCCCACGATCGCAACCTAAATCGCGGTTTTATCTTCGTCGAATTTCGAGATCATCGAGCGGCCGCGATGGCCCGGCGCAAACTTATACCCGGCAAAGTGATGCTGTGGGACCACGAGATCGCGGTGGATTGGGCAGAACCTGAACCGGGCGATCCGATCGATGAGGACATCATGGAGACGGTGAATTTTTAATTTTCTCGAAACTAGAAAAATTAATTTTAATATTCTTCTGATTTCTAAAATTATCATTTCATTATTCTGTTTTTATAATTTTACTGTCTTTTCTTTATAACATAATTCAATATTTTTTCTTTTATTCGCGACCCAATATTTTATTAATTTATCGAACGAATTTAATGATACACATGCGTAACTGTGATATTTGAAGAGATAATGATCGATGTAAACGAAAGAAAATATAAAAATATAATTCTATAAAATAAAATAAAATAAAAAAATGTAATATTAACTTTTACTAGATATTTAACATTAACTAAAACTGTTGGAAGATTGAATAAATTGATGTATTGGTTATTCATATTGCGTTCTGTGTAATTGTACAAATATATTTCAAGTTGGGAAACATTTAAAAATGAAATAGCTTTTTCACGTTCAATGACTTATTAGTAATTCTATTATAATCCGAAAATTTATTAAAAACGCGACTAATATAAATATTTTTTCAAATATTATAGAATGTGTAGTGGTATGTATAGAGGTAAACATACGACTATGTCCATATTAAAATTATTCACTTTGATTGAGGTCGACGTTGATTAAATCGGCAAATTTTAAACTAAATACCTTTGCGATAAAAAATTTCTACCTTATTTAATTTTCAGGGAATGTATTGCGACGAAAAACAATGTAATAATATATTTCTTAAAAAATTCTAAAAAAAAGCGTTGAACGCGTTGATATAAGATAAATGTGTTGTAGCAAAATCACATTTCATATCACTGCAACACTGATATATATATATATACAGAATGGTGTGAAACAGGATATGTTGCACTAACTCAATATCGTACGCGATGACAAATAGGTGACGGCTCTGTTCGTAAGGAACCTCACGCTCGATATGCCGCAGCAGAAGGTGAGGGAGATTCTCTACAAGCACACGAACGTGCCAATATTGAAGCTGAAGAAGATCAATCACTTCGCTTTCATTCACTACGAGAATCGCGAAGCCGCGCAGACTGTAATGGATATAATGCAAAGTAAGTAACTAAAGCCAAAGGATGGAAAAAATAAGAAACCAAAGAACGCAATGAATAAATATAGTAATTTCGGTAGAAACGTACTGAATCTTTTAAAGATAGAGATATAAGCAATGATAGAAAATTGATTGTTAGTAGATTGTTAATTGTAAATTCGTATTTTTATTTCTCACAATAACACATTAATGCACTGTCACGCGAAATTAATCCTATTGTTAAAATTATTTTCTCATCACATTTGTTTCTTGAGATTAAAATATATATCATTAAATTAATATTACCAATACCTTTTTAACTAAATGAAAATCGTTATCTTTGCCTAAAAAATTTTATTTTATTTCTTGTAAAAAATCGATTCGCGTTCAATTCCCTGCATGAGTATTTTTGCTTTTAGAACCGGATAGTATTGTCGAGAAGCAAGGTTGGGAGGTCCGTTGGGCGAAACCTATCGGAGCATCCAAGGCCCTAGAAAGAGAACGATTCATTCGCGAGGCAGCAGTCAACTCGGATGTCAAAATGACCGAAATTCCGCGTCCAAAACAAGGGAAGAAACGTTTCACCAAAACGCACGCGAAAATGCACGAGGACAACAGCGTTTACCTGGCACAGATGAAGGTCCTGCAGGGTTTCGTCAAGGATAGATTCGACGCGATGTGTACCTTTAACTGTGTAGAAATGCTGGATGCGCCCGGATATGTTGGCACGGTAAATGTCTTAATAAATTCGCGATTTTTTATCTTTTCATTTATGCTTGTTGATTTACTATTTTCTCTCGTGTTACGATGTTTTAGATAATTATTCACAAAGATGAGTTCATAATGTTCGAATTTCAAGGGGCACCAATGGCGTCGAAACATAAAGCCATGAGCGCGGCATCCGTTGAAGTGTACCAATATTTGACCGGTATGCTGGCGAATAACGGTACGTATAACATTTTGGCTTGTGTTATATTAAAAGCTTTTGATTATTTCGTTCTCTATTTGCGCGCGTTGAATCAAAGGCGATTTTGACACAAAATGCTTCTACGCGGATTAATTCAACTCCGGCAACGAAAAACATGCGTAATATTTACAAAATTTCGATTTTCAATAGTAATCGACAAGTACCGTTTACCACGAAATCTCGTTCGTGCTTTGTTTGCCTCGAAAAATATTTTTGCACTACGCAATGCATCACGTTTTAATGGTATTTTGCGCGTATTTTTGTAGCACCGCAGCAATTCGGACAGCATTATATTCAATCAGGAATGGATATTAACCCTATGATTGGTGCGCCGATTGTTTGGCATCCGGGAATAATTCAAAATTAGATCAGTTACTATTGTTTTATCATTTGTTCCTGTCTCTCCTTTTTAATTGGAATTTTTAATTACACACGAAACCTACTCATGTAATTTCAAAAGGAGAGCTTGATAACTTTTCCTCTATATATTAACCAAATCTTTTAATATATTTTTTAATAATTATTAAATATTAATATATTGATTAATGAAATATTTTAGTTCGATATCTGATTTTAAGATACAATTCTACGACAGAATTTACCTTTGAATATCAATACTCAAGATATATTTAACACTATTTTAAATATTTGAATGCCTAAGATAGTTCAACTCTAAATTATTAAAGCTTGCAAAATTACAATATCTGATGAAAATTTCAATCTATACAACAAATATTATCAATGATATGGCCATTTATTTTAATGATGATAATGATTAATGAAATTTCTGAAATTAATTGATTTTATAGACAATAATAACACTTCAAAAGAAGTGTATAAGGCATATTGAAAGGTAAATTATTTAAATTTGTGCAAAATTGCAATATGTATTTGATGGAATTATAATTCTATAATAAATGAAAATTTATGATTATTTATACCGGTGATTTAAAAAAATTTATTTGTGCAATGTGAAGGAAATCATTTCCGAATATATTTATTCATTTATGATAATTAAAAAAATCTTATACTTACAAATTTTGTACACTGCAAGAAATTTTTTGTAACTTTTTACTTAAAAAATTATAATTTTATCTAACTTAAAATTCAACTTACACAGAATCAAAAACGTATCGATTAAGAGTTCTCATAATTATAGAGTACGCGGTAATAAATTTACGGTAGAAGTGTTTCAAGATTTATCTTTATCCTAAAAGAAGTCTGTAAGAAGACGGAGACATTATAGACGGAAGCGTTTATCATTTCAACGGGAAAGGGCTAAGCGCTCTTTGCATCGGCGGTAGAATCGTGGAGTAATCCTCCAGGATTCTCCGTACCGTTTCGTAATCGGTGTCGCCAGTGGCATTGCTCGGTCTCATGCAACGTACTAATCGCTGGGTCTGCTCGCTGCATTCGGCCCGAACGCTCCTCTCTTGCACGCTGAAGGTCTCGTACGTGAACGCGAGCAGCTTCTCCACGACACAGTCGAGCACCCTGTCGCTCGGCAACTCGCCGCGGCCGCTCTCGACGCAGTCCTTTATCACGACGTTCATCCAGTTCCAATCCTCCCACACGTCTGATATCTCGACCTTTTGGTTCTCCAATTGCCATATCAAACGAGCGCGATACCTGCAGAAAACGTACGTTGTCACGCATATTTACAAAAATCTGACAAACATCATTTATTTTATTAACGTCCTTTTAACTTAATAAATCAACTTTTTTGTTGAAATAATTTTGCGGATTGGTCAATAAAAAGAAAAATTTCGTATTAGATTACTCAAAGTTAAAATAAGCGGATTAATTTAGTCAGTATCTTCGTTTATCGATATTTCGATTTAACTTACGGCCATCCCCACGGATTCTTGCTGAATTTCACTCTCTTCAGTTTACCCAGATAAGCAAACATGTTGTAGTCGATATAGCTAAGTTGGTTGTAATCGAAGTAAAAGTTCTCCAAATTATTGAGCATCTGAAAGATCGCGTACTCGAACCATTGAATGAAGTTAAACGAGAGATCCAGAGTCTGCAGGGAGTTCATGTTCACGAACCAACTTGTCGGCACATACGTCAATTTATTGCCCCACAGCATCAGTTTTTTCAGCTTCGTGAGGCCTACGAATGCCTGAGCGTCGCACGTCTGTATGCCCGATTCGTGTAGGTCTAAGATTAAAAGAGTCGCCCCGAATCTCGCAAAAGTGTGCCTTTAGCAGGATAAAGAAAAAAATCGTGAATTACTTCGAACATTCGAGAAATTCGTATCGGCGGAAAAGCACGTGTAATATATTCGATAAAGAATGAATATTCAAAAGAAGATTATTCAGAATAAACACGAATATTCCGAAGTACGGTATATACGGATTCTAAAAGGAAATGTTGAATATCCTTTATAAAATAAAAAAAAAAAGGAAAAATAGAACGCAAATTCGAATGCATCCAGTAATACAAACATCAAGAAGATATTATACAAAATACGCGGTAAAATAAAATGCGTTATCATATCGTCGTGTAACGTATTAAAAATCGATTATATTAAAATATCAATTTTTGTTCTCGCAATCTCCGAACAACTCTTTTTTTCTCTCCTTACCCGGCTATGTTAGGTATGTTCGAATCGAAAATCGTAATGGTTGTCGTGTTGGTCCACGCCGTTTCCAAATGCTGTTGCAGCGTCGTTAATTCAGTGCATCGAAAACCAACATTATTCGTTCGACTGTACGCGACCTTCATGCACGGCGACTCTAATAAAGCCGCTTGGAAGAGCGTATAAAAAAGATAAATTGTTAATAAACGCTTCATATTGTCGTGTAGAATTCGGTCGCGACGAGATCGTTGAATTGACTAAGAGTTCTCGAGACAGCGAACGATGGATAAAACGTACGATGTGGGCGGCACATCCTCGTGGCTTCTTCCTCCTGTTGATGATAACGCAAATTAGCGTGTATATAATATCGAATAACCGACATTTATTTACTCATTTATTTTTATCGCCTGCAGAAAAGGGATATCCTGAGAGAGGAAGATCGCTATCGCGGATGATAGTAGAAACAACATTTATTGTCATACATATATACATGTCACAATTCTCGTTAGAGTTAAATACAGCTGTTCCTAGAGACGAACGAATTTAATTCACAATCAGTCAGTTTTCGAAAGACCAACGAACTCCGAATTCAGTCGGTTTTTAGTATGGACCCCTCTTTAATTACTTTGTTGGTTGGTATACGCTTATCTATTAACCGCGCGATAATTACACGAATCAATTGGAACGACTCTTCTAATTCTTATGCTTAATAATGCCTATGCTATTTAAAAATATGTAAAATGGTGTTCCTTTATCGAAACAAAAGAGCAATATTGGAATGTCAATTTGTTACCTTACATTCGATGAAAAATCAATATTAGCAAATACTGTATCGTCTGAAATGCACTCTGTATAATGATGGCAGTTATAAGCGTGCGTTTTTAACAGCGTGATTATCTATTTTTCAGATACTTTTTCGTGATCTGATATTTACTTTTCAGATGTAACTACATTTATTGTCATAAAAATGTCTCATATTTACAGATACAAAATACCGATACCTCGATCGATATTTCGTGTCTCCACCACGTTCTTTTGACATCTAAACGAAAATATAACAAAAAATTATTTTAATATCAATTACACATAATTCCACTTCGCGGGTCCTTCAACGATCGGAATCACGACGAACGATCCAATTTCGTTGTAACTGAACGATCTCGTTGACGAAAAATCTTGTTCTCCGTTTCAATCGCGATTAAAAATCACCAGGACGATCACGGCGAGACCGACGTGACGTAATCGCGAATCGCGCAATGATTTAACGCCGCTCTGGGCGCCTAGTCGCGTGGGAGCCGAATGCGCCGGAGCCGGTGCCGGCGCCGGAAACGCGGAGATCCGCGACTTGTTCGCGATATTTGGTAATGAATTCGACGAATTCCGCCTGGACATCGGCGTGGTGTGGCCCACGTTCGTCAGATTCGATTCCATTTTGTCGAGCAGATACGAATGTTTCTTCCCCTTTTTCTCCGTCTGCTTCCGCCAAATATGCTTCTCGATAATCTCGGTATTTCGCGTGGAAGCTGTTGTTGGTTTGAATATCTGCAGCTCTGTAATTCGATTTCGGAGCAACAAGAGCGATTATCAATATTATCCGACAACTAAGAAGCCAGACAACATATAAACATTTTAAAGATAGAGAAAATTGACGATTTAAAATACATAAATTATGGAATATAATTCATTCTTTTTGTTCATGCGCGAAATGGATTTATAATATTTAATTTATGAATTTTTTTTTTTACGACATCTATACGAACAATTGCTATTGTACCTTGTAATCTTATGGACCCTTCCGTTTTTCCGAAAGCGTTTTCAGCGGAACACGTGTAAGTGCCGAAATCGGATTTGTCAAGGTGTCTCACTGTGAGATTTAGCTGATATGCATAATCATTGATGGTTACTTCCGATATATCGTATTTCTCGTTCTGAAGTAGCTTGACTCCTGAAGTAAATATTCTTCAGAGATAATTCTATCGAGAATATATATTTATATCTATACTTAAAAACAGAATCTTTCTTTGCAGTTTTTTTCGGTGGAGGGAGGAGAAAGGATGCCATAGGGATACAGTAATAAAAAAATGTATATTTTATCTTTTCGATAAAATTATGAATTCACTGGAATGAATAATAAAATTGACGTTGGCGGTTTTTCGTAAAGAAAATAGCTAAACTATCTAACTTTTTACCGAATTTTTATCAAATGACTATAAAATTTTTATAGGTTTTTAATGGGTGTATAATAAAATTAATTCTTGGAGATAATAAAATTAACGTAGATTCCCGATTAAAATAAAATGCTCTGAATATGTATCTTTAACGAGTTTTTCACGAATTCTAATATGGGGAATATCAATAAATAGATAAGTCGGTGAAATCGATAAATTAAGAATTTACTTCGAATGATGATTAAGAAAAAAGCTACGATACGTCTAAACGTTTATTGTAGTCTGTGAAATGAACAGACATGTGTCTGGTGCACGCGGAACGAAAGCCGGTGTTCTCTCACCATTATTTCTATACCATGTGTTTAGAGCTTTCGGCGAGGACTCCACGTAGCACTGGAGAACAACATCGCTGTTGACGGGCGCCGCTACTAACTGGTTTGTGACTTTAATCAGCGGTTTGACTTTAACGAGAAAGATGCAATTAAATCGTGTAACTTGGTCGAACGGAAGTTGCTATCTAATTGTAAGTAACGGCACGCGTACACTTACAACGGACGTTGACATAATATCTCTTGCTGACCGACGGCGGCACTCCGTTCGACGCGATACAGAGATAAGATCCCATCTCCTGTCGCTGAATGCCCCGCAGATGAAGTTGTTCGCCCTCAAACGTACGCCCTGCTTTAACATTTCCGATAGTGATAAAAGATGAGAGATTCGGAAATACAGATGTCTTTCAGACGCTCTCAGCTTTCGATACAACAATCTTATTCGCAAGACCGGTCATTTCTCAAATATCATCTCTTTTGTGCGGAGCATGCGGTACATCATTTGCACAGTTTCTCTTTCGTAAAATAAAAAAAAACAATTGTAGTAAATAATTAATCGTTTTCTGGATATTCTTCCAATAAGAATTTTAATATTCTTAAAAATTTTGTATGCTATACCTATGAAATATTTTTTATTACCACACGGATATTCGTGTCTTCAACCAAAGGAAAAAGACTCTTTTTGTATATTTAAATATTTGCGAAAACGTGAGGCGTTCGAAATCACCTTATTATCGCGCAAGGACGCAGTAATTAGAGGCCTTTGAGGTAATATAAAACGCGGATTCTAATGTGCACGGAGAAGAGACGGCAGAGTCACTCTGGCGGGATGGAGATACCGCGGCGGCGTAACGCTCTCGCGACGCAATGTACACACTGGATATTGCAATCGGGTACGCGAGTCGATAGAAGGGGGGAGGGCCACGGCGAAGAGGAAATATATGTAAAGTCAACATCCATCACTCACAGTCAGGAAGGCTAATCGGATGGCTGCTTTTCCGCGGGACACGGCGCGGCGCAGCGCGGCGCGGCGGACACACCGACGACGGGGTTCGTCCCCGTCGTCGTGCATCGTCGCTCTTTTAAAAGTGATCCGCTCGCGGGGGAATATTTCATCTCGAAAATCACACGCGCGCGCGCACCCCGTGCGGATCAATTAAAGATAAATCGGACATACGGTTTCGTTTAGCCGCGACCAATCGCGTTTTTTTAGGGTCTCGGCATCATAATCATTAGTCATATTCCCGACGGTGGGAATTTTCATCTATTTTCAACGGTGGCGAATTTCGCGTTTAATGGCATCTCTCCCGGTGAGGTATGATGGAATTTTCATTCATTTTAAGACCGCGACAGATGATCATCTCACTTTCACGCAATAATGTAAGCATTATCGTTTAATTAACGTTAACTAATCAAATCGGATTCTATTGTTATCCGCGCATTGATAACTTTCAGTCTGATAACGATCACACGTAATAAGCTTGTTTCTGTCAAAATTAATTATCTTACATTTCACCTACATGTACTGTAAAGCATGTCATTGTCTGTTTGAATTTCCGTGCAAATTAGAGAGAATGAAGAAAGATTTTTTTTTTATTTCACATTATATACAATTTCCTCTTTTCTGGCGTATCTTTCAACGTCTCTTTCAATTTTATTTGATCCTCTCGCATGCGCGAGTCCAAATGTCTAAAGACTACTTAGCATCGTACTTCGCTTGACGCCGTTCTCGGTCCTCAGCGTGATGTTCCGACCATCTTCCCGTCGCCAGATCACCGTTGGTTCCGGATTACCGGTAGCTAGACACCGCAACAGCAAATCGCCGTTTTCCTTGGCGGTCAACATATCCGCGCTGTTATCCAGGTCCATGATATCGGGTGGTATCACGACCTTCATGTAGCCAGTCTACGTGACAGGAACCGAATTCAATTCAAAATGAACGAGAAAGAAATGTCGAAATATTTATTTTGCATCTAATTGCGTGCAACACTTAAATTTTTAGATATTAATTAATATTATCAGTATTTGGTCTCTCTTTACATATCTCTAATTAATTTTTTAATTAAATGAAAGAGAATACGGAGAATCAAGGTATCCTGTGTATAAAATAATTGATTTTAATAAAAATATAATTCTAATAAGAATATATAAACATCTCCGTCTGAACTGACTTTGCTCTTCCATTCGCGAACTCGAGAGGGATCCAAAATTCGTTCTAACTCAATTTTAAAAAAGTATCATAAAAGAATTTTATATCGCGACACAAGCAGATTCCCCGGTTCTGCGCTGAATATTCTGTTTTATACGCAGCGTGTATACGTTGCATTCACGCAGCATTTGCGTTATACAGAGTGTCGGAACGACACATCGTCTCCCCTATTCGGCGGCAACGTAGAACGTGATAGAGAACGGCAATGACTGTCGCGCTAATGTTCAACGGCTCTACTGACCTGACTCCTCATAGGATCCGTATTAACTTGACACATGTACGTGCCGGAGTCGTTCGGCTGAACGTTAGTCACGTGCAGCTTCCATGTGTTATGGCCGTTGTGAGTGACGGACAAGCGTGAGTTGTGCGCCACCAAGTGCGTGTGAATGGCCAAAATCGCACGCGAATCCGACTTTATCCAGGCGACCTGCGCGTGACGTGACAAAGGTGCTCATTTCATCCATATATAGCGACGAAGACCATACGCATTTAGAACAATTGCTTGGAACAATAATTGTAACGCGCGATATTAAATATAATTGAAAGCTATCTGTTAACTATATTTGACGTGATAAGCATTTAACAATGTTTGCTGAATTTATGTGTGAATGTTAGAACTTCGCAAAATGAAGTTTTTACGCGATGACAAATTATTTCACAAATATCTTTCGGCAATATAAATTTCTTTATAAACGTCAATATATTTCTCTATATCTAGTTGTATCAAATATTGAAATGTTTTCAATGTAGCGAGCGCGATATTTGAAAAATATACATTTAATTTAAAGCTCGTAGTCAAATAATATTTACGTTAACATTTGTGTAGCAAATTGTAAATATGTATGTGAGTGATTGATAAATAAAAAACCTGATAAAGAGGTTTTTTCATGAAAATCGAACGTCTTCGATGATAAATTCAATGGGTATTTCAAATTAAATAATTACTATAATTTATCAAAATAGACAACTGATTACAAAGTAACAATCAAAATTCTAAGATACTTTACGTATCAAATAATGTTATTTTTCTAGCTTTACATGACGCTGTGCTAAAAAATAAATGCATGTTCCAGTCTCTTCAGAAAATTGTTAAAAAAACTATGACAGCAACGATCGTATTTTACGATTGACCTAGGAATTAGTAATAAAAAATTAAATAAATAAATGTGCATAAAGATAAATAACACGGAAGATTTCTGTTCTTTCTCACACGAAAGGAGAGAGATGGTTGCATTTTGCACAAGAGGAGAATGGTTAAGGAAATCGAGCCACCTCATGTACGAAAAGCGCGAACTCTTCATTAGTACGGTGCCGAGGTGGTGCTTAAAAAGCGTCGCGGTGCTTGCGAAAGGCGCTTATCGGTATTCATACCGAAACGCTGGCGCGGCGTTGGAAGTTGCACTCTCAAATTCCGCTCGGGTTTACGCTGCTACAACTTACAACCTCTATTTCGCGCCTGCAGCCCCCTTCTCGCTCGTGCCGGCTCGGGTCGGCAGCCCGATCTGTCATATTTCAGACAGCGGCGAAGCCATTGAGCAGGATAAAAGGGCTTTTAAACCGCGGACAAAAGCCCGCGTCGCCATGTTTCGATCGGCAATGGAATTTAAGGGGCCGCGTAAATACGTAAGAGAACAGGGTATCTCTCTACCTGTTGGAAACAAAGCTTCCTTGGCGACGATCCGTTCGCCCAGAATCTATATCTCGCGTGTGATCATTCCGTGGATCAGGAACAATCGGCCAGGTGTCCTCATAGATATATCTGATATGTCTGTTGCACGCGGTGATCTACATGACATTACATCTCAGGGTATTGCATTTACGGCGGTATTACGCTATTCGGCTACTAACAAGTTTATGTTATCTTCAGATATCCACACGTGTAAGATATCGGAACTTCTAGATTTCTCTCGTACTGACGTACGTATTTGCGAAGGGGTTAATTCCGAAATAAAATATTTTATATTCTTCTATGTACCATAAAGGGCCTACTTCTCTCAATCAATTTGAAATACATCAACGACGTAACACCAGTGCGAGTCTAATTACAAGGCTTGAGTTTCCTGCGGAGAGATATAGCATCGGAGGCTTCAAATACGGCTGCACCGATCGTTACACGGGACTGCGGTAAAGGGTTAAATTTCTGAGATTAGATGTTACCGGATGCACGAGACGCGGTTACGTGTAACGCGACGACAAGTTCGAAGCAGCTGCCAAATTAAACAGCTTTCGATGCAGATACTCCGATGCAAAAACGAACACACTTTTGTAACGCGAATTTCGTTTCCTGTCCATCGCACAAACGTACCTCTCTTTCTCTCTCTCTCTTTCTCTCTCTCTCTCTCTCTCTCTCTCTCTCTCTCTCTTTCTCTCTGCATCATGCAGGAAACGAAGAATGTGCATATTGCAGAAGGGAGCAAAAAATAAAGTCACGTGAAAAATGAATATTGAACGTGATTAAACAAAACAGAGGAAGAGAAAGAGAGCAAAAAGGCAACATTTTGCATGCGCACGCGAGGTTTCTTTCTATGCCAACAATACATCTAAACGAGATGGGAAGTGAAACAAGAGGGTAAATGTTATTACAGTAACTGATCGGAAATTGAACGGAGTTGAAATTGAAGCTTCGCACGAAGGTATAAGTACATGATTACAAATGCGTAAAAAATGCGTACAAGAAAATGTATGGAGAGATTAAAGATTTTTCACTTTGCACCTCGAACTGTCTCTCTACAATTTGGCAATCGCTAAAATGTGACAATTAGATAAATTAAACAAGTTTTAATATTTTCGCGAAAGAGTCTCGCGTAATTAGCTTCTAAAATATCTTAAACTTCTCAATTATTATTTATTAAAGACGATAAAACTCCGTCTGTGCAATAATTTTGAGCTATAAATTCAAATTCGACGCTGTCAGTTGCAAAATTGCGTCTATTCTTTGTCCATCTAATCGCCGTCTGGTTGAAGTGCATGAGGTGCGTATAAATGGTGTAGCAAAGTCAGCACGAGTCGCATAGAGGAAAAAGAAGAACGAAAAGGAGGAGAAGCACGGCGGCAAAAATCAGGGCTATTCAGCGACGCTATATTAGCAGATCTGATTTATGTCCTTTCTTCCATCGTTTCCTTTCTCTTTCCGGCGAGAAAGACGGAGGAGAAGAGCCCTTCGGCTCACAGAGAGCCGCGAGCGACAAGACGGCGGCGAGCATCTCCACGAGTACGCTTCAACGGCGTTGGAAACGCGATAGAAACGATTGTCGCGATCTGAGCACGCAATCAAAACTTGGACTTCTTCTTGAAAGTGAATTACTCGCGACCAGGGTCCGTCCCAGAAGAGATTCCCTGGATTCTGGCGCGTTCACAACCGAACGCTTCGCCTCACAAACGCACCTACATATATATACACAAGTCAGCGACTGTAGATACACGAAGAGCGAACGTTTCCGCGTTAAATCGCGGTCAATGTTGACACGGGGCAACAATTGCAAAAAACAAGTGACCTGCTGACACAGCAGCTAAATTGCTAACAAAAATTGATAGCGTTCAGCAAAATAAACGTACAAATATTTTCGAGGCGCTTCGGAGCAAACGCGGCAAATGTAAAATCAAGCCTATTTGGAGGTGAGATTTTCTTCCATAAAAAATTTCGAGGTGGTTTTCAACGATCGAAAATAAAGGGTTTTTTGCAAGTAATCAAGATTTGCAAAGGCAAATAGATAAGAAGTAGATCTGAATTATTCAGCTAATTTTAAGAGTCTACTTTAACAGAATCTCAATTTGAAGTTTAACTGCAGAGTTATTTAAAGATGAAAGTTGGACGGTAATAATAAACAATAATGCAAAGATAAAATCGCGATTATAAATTTACTGAATGTGGAAACACGCGCGTTTACGCGAGATTTTCGTTTCGTACGATCCTCTTAATGTCCGGTCTTCGCGTATCTGTAATCATTGTAGTGTAAGAATATTGTGGATGGAGAAAGCAGCACGGCAAGATCGATGGGAATAGATATAGTTTTGCTGATACGAAAACGGTGTTCTTCGTTGTCCCGATACGTTCTTCCGGTATTGTCTTTCTGTCGTTGGAAGATGCAGCGAATACTCTCGATGGTTTCGCTTGATTTGCATTGTTTCGCTATGCAGATCCAAGGAAAACATTTTGACATTTGTAGCGTCGCTTGTGGCTCCCTTAGGAGTTCAAGAAACGACGTTCGAAAAAGTCGACGGATCTTACACATCTTACATTTTTATAAGAACTAAGTTTTCTCTCTACGTATAAATTGTTCTTTCTAGTTGTAATGTTATATCGTTGCTAAAAATTATAATATAACGCGATTGTGTTTAGTAAATTTTAGTAAAATCGACTATCCGACAAATAGAACAGGATTGCACAAATTAAATTTTGAAAAATATAATTTACATAATTGTATATACGTATAGGTATAGAACTTTCTTAAATCTTAAACTTTAACATAAATCTCGTCTAAGAGACGATCGATACAAAGTAATAAAATATTTATTTTGATCCTCTTTTGCTTCCGATGTTTCTCATCATTAATACGTTATTACTACTCATTATACATCTCTGCTCCTTCTTTGCTGCAGGATTAACGTTTACCTATTTAAAGCATTTGATGGCGCATTGCTTCGCTATTGAGCATTTCGAATGACCATTGCCCGAGACACATTCTCGTAATATTCGCTCATTAATTGAGCGGTAGAATAATAGAGTTCCACGTGGTTACATCGCAATTACTCGGCAATACAATCCGTCTAGGCTGCATCCGGTATATTAAGCGAAAATACGATCTAGGCCACACTACTTACTATTTCGAGCGGTGGCCCTAATCGACTAGCTAATTACAACATGCGCGCAAGCGGTACGAGTACATTTACCTTGTAAGACTGAAGATGATTAACGACGCAGGTGAACGAGACGTCGCGACCTTGGGTGACCGTGTGATTTTCCAAGAGCGCCAGAAATTCGGGCAGGACCTCGGACTTGGGCGGCGTTTGTCCTGAATTATGCAATTAGCGATTATGCGCCAGCGATTATGGCTAAAACGATCGGCAAAGTTAATCCTTAATTAGCCCACCGCGCGGCCAACTTGCCGTCGATACGCCGCCGTTACGAATATGATGTATGGACGGCGCATTAGGGAAGATTCGGGGGAGCCCCGAATACAAGAATGCCCATCACCTTTTTGCGCCGCGCGAGCGAAATTTAATCTAGATCGCTGCATTACTTATGCATGTAATGAGCGGCCGGTCGACTATGTCACCACGCGATAATCATTATTCTTTCTATGCGTCGCGCTTGTGATTATACCATTCGTATTCTATATGAGACGCGATTCCGAGAACGTTAATTAATTTCTAATAAAAATTATTTAAATTTAGGAGAGTGCACATATTTTCTTAAAACAATCGATAAAAATTAGCTTGTATATTTTCTTGCATGTAATACGAACGTATATATTTGATTATAAAATTTCTTAATCATTTAATATATTTTCTACCTTATATCATATAAATTTTGCTGAAACAATTTGTTCGCACATTTTACTGTGCAACACGCAGGACAGTGCGCCGCATAAATTGGGTGTTGATTGATCGCTTACGAACCCTTACGGACCCTGTAACCTTCTCACGTCACGATATTCACCCCTCGCGTTCTCGCGTGGCGGATGCCAATTTTATGTGACGTTACGTATCACACAGAGTGGTCGCGCACGTTGATCATTCTCAATAACGCAATAACGAAATGGAGTCTAATAGATGAAACAAAAAAAAGATATATTCTTCCTGTATCCTTTTTGGCTAACTTAGCTTATGGCAATCACGCGAGCACGAAGAAAAGGGGAGAAAGTTTCGCGAGAAACGGAGTGTTTATTAATCACGTGGAACACGGCCCAGCGAAAGTTCGCTGACTTGTGGAGTAATCATCATCTATCATGATCTATCGCGTGGAAAGGCTACCTCCCGAAGACCAGGTAATATTTTTGTTGGTCCGCATGCAAATCAAGTGCTCGACGACCTATGCATTATGATTTGCACCTGCAGTGTAATGAGAAATCGACCGAACTGCACTGCTCCGAATTAGAGAGCAATCTCAATAAACATTAAATAATAAGGAAATTGAAATGTTCAAGATTTACGTGAATTTTTATTTCTTATATTTTATTTTTTTTTTTTATCATCTATAATACCTAATCCAGTGTTTCGCAAATAAATTTCACAAGAAATGATGAATTTAATCGTATTGTAAACTCTATCAAATTTTCATGTCTTTCTCTCTAAGCATCTATAAATTTCTGTAAGTTTAGAATTTAATATGATTTTTCTAAAAGAATTTCGTAATTTACAGCCATGTGATAGACGAACAACGGTACTAAATAAATAAGCATAACGATACAGAACGCGAACGCGTTTCCGTTTTCCGAGGCGGGAGAAAAGTCGGCGGTCTGTGCCACTTTGCAATTCCTACTTCTTTTTAAGCGAGGATTCTTTTTAAGCTCTCGCGGAAACGCGAAAGGCTACCGATAGCGACGTCTTCAGAGAAGGATTCTATTTGATTCTTACCGTAACTGGAGCAAAGAAAGGCGGCGCAAAAGTAACGGGCACGATACCAGTCGCGGCGATCTGGGTAGAAGGGAAGGAGGGAATTCTATCATTTCGTGCGGATTAAAAACTTGTAACTTTTGCTTCTTCTCGCAACTCCTACGAACGATTCTCTCTTTTTTTTCCTGTTTCTCGCAAGGATCTGCGCGTCACGGAAATACTTACCTTACCGAAGCGGTATATTCGACTCTTACCGAGACTGACGTGGAGGAAGGCGACAATAAGGACGCACAGTGCGAAGTTCCGCGATGCCATGCCATAGGGTAAGCCATACGCCATACGTACTGCAACAAAAAGCGTGAAATACGTTAAAATAAAGCACTATATTAAACATATTAACACATAAACGAGCCAAGCAACAGTTATTTATATCAGTAACTTATACTGAAAGCCTTTGTTAAAAATTTTTAATTATTCTTTTATTTATTTACTGCTATCTTTGAAAACTAATTTTTATAACTGGAGGACAAACGATAATTTATTTGCAGTAAAATTTACAATTCGTTGATTTAAAATTAATATAAACACAGATAAGGCAAGTCCACGCACAGAAAATCCTTTTATTAAAACAGTTAACTTTCGCACGGGATATTTTGAATATTAATTACAATAAATTTCAGTCATGCGATTTCTCTTTCACATCAATAGGCAAAATTTATGTACATGAAAAATGTAACATGAGAGTAATTAAAAAGTATCGCGAAAGAAAACATATTAATACGAAAATATTATTTTTTTATTTATATTTTATCAAAATTTGCAATATATTAATTCTCAAACAAGAATCAGTAAGCTGCGAGATCAAAGGTAGAAAAACTCATGTGTATTTTCGCCATTAAAAATTAAAATAATAAACAAACTGATTAGATAGAACTGCAACAATATAAAAAACCGGCAAAAATTACTGCAAAAGAAATACTTAAAAGTCTATTGGTCAGAAGTTTTATCGATTAAATAGCAGATGTAATAATTTAGCAATCTTATTTATTATTTCGAAAATAAGATCTGTATGGAAATCATAATTAGAATTTTCCAACATAACATACTAAATTTCGCGTGAGAGGATATGCGCAAGGGAGTTGTTACAGCGAGGCAACCGGCTTCAGGGGCGCGAGAGAAGAGAGAGGTCTGGGTTGAAATCGAGAATTTTGCGACGTCGTCGACGCGTGCTCGGAACGAGGATACGGAACGGAGGAGGGGGAAGAGGGCAAACGGAGGAGAGAACCCCGAATCGTGTGAATATTAACTCGACAGTTGGTCGCCACATAAACGCCAACCCGCTGATATATCTCCCGTTCGCCCGTCGCCGGCCGGCCAGCGCCGCAATAATACTCTCGAATGGTAGTGGAGATACACCCTCTTCTCCGCACTCTCTCGCGATACGCACACTTCGCGTCTCGGGGGCACACGTGCGCGTGAATGCGTATGCCACATATACGTGTACGTAACGTATGTAACGACCACAGTCCGATGGTCAAATGAAAATTTCGCTCACGCCAAAAACTCACCCTTTATAACCTCGGCCAATCTTGCTCTCGCGTTCGCCAAAAATTCCATATACATATTTAAGGCCTACATTATAATTTCAGTTCAAGAATTTGGATGAAACTAGTTTTGAACAGATCAGTTCGATATTAATTTTGATATAATTGTAATAATGATTCAGCTAAGCAGCCCAGATATGGTAAAATTTATTTTTAATTTATTCGTCTTGTGTTCACAAGATCCATAACTAAATTTAATTTCTCGAATTTTTGAAAAACATATGAATGCATATCAATAGATTTTTAATCTTGTATTAAAAATCAAATATTGAACCGAGGAAAATCACGTATTACTAAAGTTCACTTTAGATTGTTTGTAGATTAAATCTATAATTCGCATCAGATTTTAAGATAGAATTTTGTGTAATATTATCATTTTATATGTCGCGCGTATATTTTGACTTGTACATACGTATTTTTGATTCTCTAAAGATTTTTCGTATTATACGGCACATAAAATAATAAATGAAGTAAATTAATAAATATAAAATTATAAAATTCTAGCCTGGATTCTGACGGAAATTATAAAATGTCTGAATCAGGTTTTAGTAAGAATTTACCGTAAATTTTATCTCAAAACATATCGGAAATACTCGAAATAAAGTTTAATATCTTGAAACGTGAACGGTTCAACATTATATTTGGATCAGAAATCAACTGAGAGTGTACTCAGTTGATTGTAAAAAATAAAACGATCATATGACACTTGAATCATTAAAGTATTGTACAATTATTACGAAACACTCCGCAATAATATATACGTCACGAGATAGATAAAATTGAATCTCACATTTTCTTTTATTTTGTTTTTAATAACAGAAGCCATAAAATCAAATTACCAAAAGATAAAAATGAAAAAGCTATAAAAGATTAAGATAAAATAAGTACGTTATAAAAGGTTTTTTTTAAATATCAATATATTGTGAAATTTAATAAATTATAAGTATAATTTCAAATTAATACAAATTACCCTAATAAGCTTATTAAGGACTATCACCATTTCTGGAAAATCTCATCTATATGTAGAATGTTTGATGAATGTTTGCAGATCTGATCTATCTTTGGATTACAACATAGTGCATCTGGTCAAATCTTGTGCATCCGTAATTAAATTCTGTCTGTATAATAAGACACCAAAATATATCAAATTATGCATTAATGCAATGAGTTTTATATATTTGTACATTTTCACATAAATCGACGGATATGACCAACATTAAATTATTACTAATCTGTATTATAATTTATTTATTCTAAAACAATGAATCTATGAAATATAATATTTATGAATTATATGTATATAATTTACTTCGCGATTTGACAAATAAAATAATACAATAATATGTTACTCTATAATTGCTTCACTATCGTTTGTTTGATGTTCGTTCGATATATATTCGTGCTTTTATAGATTTCCTTCTTTTTTGTTTTCTATTCCTCTTTGTTTATTGGAACTCACACGAGATTCACCCACGAAATTCAGTTAATCACAATCGCGTATGCACTTAGTCACTAACATATTACAATGATTCTAATAAACACAATAATCGTATTACATTTTATACGATAATAAAAATATTATACTTTATAAGAGAGTAGAAATACCTGATACTAAATCCACTCAATGTGCATTTTGTTACTGTATTTTAAAATGTAAAAATAACACGAAAGAAGATTATGATTGATATTCCGCAAATCAACAGACAAATCTCGAACGGTGAAAGCTTTTAACAAATCACCAATGTAGAAACTTTATGTTATACGCGGTTAATAAATACTAAAATACGGAATTAATTACGATCATATATTGATGATTAATTTGAATTGCAGTCATTAGTCGTTGCAGTCAATTGTGGTTGATTGTAGCCATTAATTATCGATCCATTTCGCACAAGCAATGTTTCGTTAATGATCAAAAAATTCGAAAATAATCGGCAATCCTAATATCATGGGATACGATTCAGTTAACAAAGTTTTGGCTAATTAAGGCGTGATAGATCATTCGAAAATGTATAATTGAAATTTAGTATTGTATGCATAATATATTTCGAACGTATAAATTCAACGAGATATATTATTAATAAACGATCGGAATATCATGGCTTTTCATTATTCATATTACTCGATTTTACTATTACTCCACATTTTCAATACAAGATGGACAAATTATTTTATTCATATTACGATATCGAAATAATAAGAAATGGGAATTATAAGGTTATTATTTTATGGCGAATATTTGTACACGGACAATATCATAATTTATTTGAATTTAAATTTAAATTTAAATTCAAACATATTCTACATTTGCGATTTGAATTTTTCATTGATTTAAATTCTAACTGCTTGATACTTTTGAATTAGAATGTTATTTTTTGTGTCTCAGATGAAATTCTGTTTCGATATGTCATCTGTTACGCTTTTTAATATAAGATGCATATAAATATTATGGAAACTTTATTCTAAATATCTCATCTGATATGAGATTCAAGCGATGGTTATAAATAAACGGGCATGTGTTTAAGTTAATGAAAATGAAATTTTCGTGAATGTTCCAGTTTAATATCCATTGCAATGACATTGCAATATTACAACATCGAATTCTGTAAAAACATGAGACAGATAACGACGAATGCACGTTAGCATGCACTAGGAGATCGTCATAAATACGAAAGTAGAATCGCGTATCACGAGATAGGGCGATAAACGTCGAATATCTCTTTGAAGGGCCGATCAGTGGTCAGGATATCAAAAGCCCCTTTGACTTGGACGATGCAGTTACCTATCGTTTCACTATGCGCACAAGCACATTCAACTATTTCCTTCCGATGAATAATCAAGCGTATCCGTTAACGTCTGAGAGATTGAAAATTATGGACCTGGATGTAATTTATTTGAGAGCACATGTGTGCATAAAGGGCATACGCGCAATAATTAAAATACGATCATTCACATTTAATTGAGCATTACAAAAATTAATTCATTTGTCACATATTTCGCCGAAGTGACAGTATTGTCAACTGATATCTTTTGTCAGATTTAAAAATCTTCCAATTTTACGCGCACGGAGCAAATTTGAAAAATATTTCACGAGTTTCATGACATAATTGCAAGAATAATCGTATCAGATATCAATAATATTATTGATTATCGGATCTAAATTAGATTATAGAATTATTAAAATTATGTACATTCTAAGTCCATATAATTCTCAATCATTTGTATGCAAAGTTTTCTGAAAAAAACATGTGAGAGCTATGAAAAAAATATTCTATGGAAAAATATTCTGTGATTTAGTGGTATAGCTTTTGAAGAAACTTGATACTATTTCGATACTTCTCGAAGTATGGAGAAAGTTGATAATTGGAAAGTCGATACGCGCCCGCGTTATTAGATTTACGTAGTGAAAATGTTCATGGCGCGCGTGTAAGTGCACATGTGAGAAACTACGTATAGTCGCTTGCGGAACTACTTTAAGCTGAAAACATTCTTTCGCATTGCCAATTCAGGACTGGCACGCGTGAGTTTTTCAAATAAAATAAATAAAATATTCATATATTATTTATATCTATTGCATTACTATTATAAAAATATTACAGAATCTACTAGATTTTATATAAAGCCCTCCCTAATCCTATTTCTGTCAAGTTAAATTAGGAATATTAGCGAGATGTTTCCAATCGAAAAGGAAACGCAACGAAGACTCGGAGGGTAACTTTCGCTTCTCTCGCTCCTTCCGC